TTCATCTTCGGCTTGCGCCACTGGTAACGATACTTTCTAGGACTTAACTGAATAAAACTGAGACAGTTCCTAGTGAACACTTTGAATTTATTCGACAGTCTACGTGGTGTCCCGTGATTCCAGTAGCCTTAAAACCAGAACAAAACGAAGTTGTAATATAACTGTGAAATACACCCTTCTTCCCTTCGTGATACACTGCTTCTTTATGTTATGAATCTTACCGCTCTGATGTACGATGTTCCTTTCGCCTGTCTATGATACATCGGATTTTAGACGCGAAATGTAAGTATAAGTGCGCCTTTTTATACTGCAGTACAGTTTTTGCGCATTGTACTTGTTGTAATGTCTGGAGTTTTTTTGTTTATTCTGTCGCCTGTATTAACCTCTGTTATAGAATAGGTGTCAGTTATGTCGGTGACAGCGAAAGCGAACATGACGATGAAACAGCAGCTGGTCAAGATTTAGTGGACCCCAACAATTGGCGCAAGCCAGCAAATAACCTAAGGCCATCCACATTTACGAAAGAAAAACAGTGAAAAACGAACAGAGCTTGAATAGTGGTAATTTAAGTCAGAATTCGAATCCCTGTCATTTTTCTGTAAGCGGTTATGAAGCACATAGTAGTTTGTTACAAATATGATTACCAAAATCGCAAAAGAAAAAAAAAACAAATTGTCACATTGAAAGAATCGTTTTGAAAGCACATAGCAATGACGCATATCATCACAGAGATTTATTACAATTATTATTATCACTACTCTCTTAGACATTATTATTATTATTATTTTCATCATTTTTTATTGTTATCATCCTCCTAAACAGCAGGATATTCTCAGCTAGTCTGGGAATGGCAACGCTCGGAGACCCAGCCGGCGATGTTCAGCAAACATCGCTGAATTTCTAAATGGTTGAAACCTTGCCAAAGTGCGTTTTTTCTGAAGGGACAATTCAACCGGTAATCCTTTCGGGAGAAGAAAGGAACGTTAGGAAAGCCAGAAAGCTGACCACTGGGCGAAGCAGCATTGATCAAAATAGCTACGAAGAAAAAAAATGGCGTGGTCAGCGGCTAAACCACTGACCGAAGAATAGTAAACGACCAATCGTTTCAAGTGTCAAGTATTAGATTTATCATCGTTATTGTTATTACTATTATAGTAAAGTGATTTGTTTGAATAAAGCGTACGAGCAAGCATTATTCATACAAACAGAACTAGCGCTTCTTTTACATTTGCACTTGGATACAAGGAAAATGACATTTTCAAAAAATCCAAAATTAAAAATCAAACTGATATAAATACTCCGGAATTTAAGATGGCGTTAGACTTTAGTGTGAATGTGTGCAGTGGAAAATGCAGCTTTTTCAAAATTTTCAAGCAATTAAGACTTGAAACTTTTGTCATTACCTTGGCAGTTTTAATTCAGAATTAAATTATTAAAAAATCCTGATTTTGAACCTACGAGTAAAAACAACCCTCATGATATGCCGGGGGAAGACTGCTAGTAGCTGAGGTGTTAAATTGCATAGTGCAGGAAGAATTGGGAATACCCCATATTTTTTTCTGAATGAATGAAGAATGCCAGAATTGCCAGCAAAGTCGCCACCTGTAGCCTAGCCTTGGATCGAAATATTCTAAGGAGAGCTATCAGCTATTAAGGGCGTATCACCGTATCAAACCTAAAAATTTTTTTTAAAAAAAGTTCAGTTCTAGAAATTCCAAAGCTTTAGAATTCCGCGGCTATACTTCGAGGAAATTAAATTACAAAGACCCGTTTTCATTTTGTACCGAAACCTCCAGGAAGAGTGTTAGCAAAATCCAAGCAGATAAGTACCAGAAGAGTTGAAAAAAGTAAGTTACGGTGGAAGGCAGTAGATTCAGTCACATGAGAAGCTTAGCTTATATCAAATTGTTTGGAAAAGGAAGGAGCGTCAGTTTCAATCGATGTACGTGAAACTTGCTTCCTTTCAGTCTTGGCAATACTGGCGAAATCCTTCCAAATTATCGGTCTTCCCATAGGCAGGAGTAAAAACGCCTGGATATCGAACAGTTTAGTTGAAAACATGACCAATTCTGGTCTGTGTAACGGCCGAATTGACACGTCTTAGATAGCGACCCGGACCGCTGCCGCCGCCGCCGCCGTCACCCATCACTGCGTACGGAGAGTCAAACACGTGCGGGCTGACCAACGCGTACCCGTAAAATCTGGAAAACCATTAGGCATTTATAAGCGTTGGGGATAAAATTCGAAAAGACAAGGAACTGAAAAAAGCGGGCGAAAAGGGCTCGGCCAAATAAAGTTAGAAGATCCGTCTACAAATTTTGTCCCTAAAATTGGGCAATTTTTAGCAAATTCGTTTTTTCCTGATGACCTTGACATCCAGAACTTGGACCCAGACGAATGTAAGCAATGCTAATGACAGAAAGGAAAGTATATCAAAAAAAAGAGGAGTGACCGAAGGCTCACAATATGTACCCTGAGTCAATCTTGTATGGCTGATCATAGTAACGTTTCGATGCCTGATAGTAGTAAGGATTCTCGTCCGCTGACCAGTAGATCGACTGTTCCTCCATGTGCCGCATTGGTGGTGTCTAAAGTTCGAAGTACTGATACATACTACTTAATCATTGGTATTTGAAATGACTAGCAATTCAACACTAATTCAAATTCGTAACGTTCTCCAACGGTATAGCCGACAACTACGTTCTATAAGCTTCTATCATCGACAAATTTACGCGTTGTGTCTCTTAACACGCTTTTTTAAGATTGCTTATAGCAAATTAATGAAGGGTTAAACTCCTTGCATATGCCAGCATCAATTTACCATCAAACCGAATGAACGAATCGTAAAAGGACCGGTTGTTCCACTCGCGGAATTGAACAAAAATCTTCGACCTCTTAAAAGACAGTAGTGCTATATCTCATTAAGTCATGCGCAGTGGCTAGCATAACAACTATTAGCCGTGAGCGTTCGCACGTGATTACAAAATATGATGTGTGCTGATAGTTTTTTTTGTTATATGTAAAACAGTTTGAACAAAACATGAGGAACCTGAAGCTGTGGAGTGACCAGTGTTCGCAATGTACCGTAATTGTTCTCCTCTATGGGTACAATTGTGGAAATGCTGCTTGTTGGCTTCCGATGCATTGAATATAGCGAACTAAAACGCATTTTCCACCATGATTTCAGTTCTGGATTAAAAAAGCAACATTTTTGCATTCTTCAGCACTGAATCACTAGTACAAAGAATATCCGTGTGGGTATCCCATGTTAGTGATATCGCTGGGAGTTATACCAAGCTCTTCGATCCTGGGCTGCATATTTTTACTTAGTACCCGCGCCCTGTTCAGCAATGCGCGCCAATTCTTGAGCTTTTGGTATTGACTACAGTATCGTCACTGCGTATTAGTGATGGTACTTGCAGGGAGATAAACCATTACCCCCTCCTTCCGTCCTTTTCCCTTCGAAAAGGTTTGCACTCGTGGCGGGTTTTCAATGCCTGATTCATAAATCAAAGCTACTTAAAGTTGTTCTTTCACTCTTTTTATAGCAGTAGCATCCGCCCACTGTATTCGTCCTCGTTTCCTTAGGTTTGGGACTGAAAAAATAGATGATTGGTACCTGAGAGCGGCAAATGTAGCGCAGAATGTGCATATGACGCAAGCAAGTGCTGCTGTTGCAGCTAAAATCAGAGCCACCTCAATGATAATCCACCGTACCCCCGTTACTGTCACTAAAAGCGCAGCCTGAAATTCATAAAATCAATCTGAACAATCTATGCAACCTCACAGATACCGTCCAGTGATGCATAACTAAATTACTGAATATCTAAATAAAAATTAAAACCTTTTCCGCATAGGCATAAGAACTCGAGAAGTGGTCCGGCTAGCAGCAAATACCACTAGCACCCACTCATTCGCAAAGCTGTCGGTGGCCCTCTCACTTTCAACAGTTGCTTACAAGCAAGCTGGTGGCGGGTTTGACTGTTTAGCATCACTATCGAAATAAGAGAATGGTTATCGAGGGATATGTTGTTCCAGTGGTGAAGTCAAGTCCACGACCATCTGTACGATAACAACGGTAGTTTATTGAAAATTCAGAAAAACCAACAAACCAAGTAGTAAGTGTTCGACATTGCATAGCTGACCATGAACAAAGCTACGGAAGCGGCTACCACATTCAGTAACGTTACCGAAAGCAGCAGTGCTGGATGACATACTGATATTAGCTGCAATTATTGAAAAGTCAAAAAGCAAAAATGTCAAAATGCTGAAAGTCCGTAGGATGTGAGTTTTTGCTTCACCGAAAACCCTTTTTTTCAGGAAGCAGCGTGAAATACCGAAGGCAGTTTTGGATGTAGATAGTTTTGTGCTGTAAAAAGCTCACAGCAAGAAAAAAGTATTCAATTATTTCTAAGTACTCCACTGGAGATGGGCTTTTATTCCGAAATCGAGATCTTTTTTCTTGCTAAACTTACAGATTTTAACTAATAAAACAAGCGAGTATTAGGATTTGATTTTTTTTTTAATAGAAAACACTAATTTTTATTGAAAACAAACTTGCAAAAGCGAAATACTGAACACGAGCAAGCCTTCACCCATACGAAAATACGGTACTTCAACCGGTGACTCCGAATAACGCCAGAAGCCGAGCGAAAAAACAACGTGGCAACCAATCAGAACAACACCATAGAACATATTGCCCAAAAACAATATCATATGGATGCCTAAAACCTTGCGATCGCTATCCTTCATTTGCGAAAATAAAAGAATTTAACGGGTATGCGCAGAAAATTGCTACGAGTTCAGAGCCTGTTCCTCAAAGCCAATTTTTCAAAGGTGTTTTGAGCCCCTAGAGATGAGAAAAGAAAAAAAAAA